GTATGCAGGTATGTGTATGTGTAAATGTGTGTGTAGGTGTGTAGGCGTGTGTATGTGTTTATGTGTAGGGGGGTGTGTGTGTATGTGGAAGTGTGTATGTAGTTGTGTAGGTGTGTGTGTGTGTGTGTGTGTGTGTGTGTGTGTGTGTGAGGGGGGATCAAAAGTGCAAAGGTATTCCAGCTTGTGCTGCGGCACAGGCCGAGGCTCTTCCTTGGATTTGGGCAGCAGGCGGCCCAGGGACCCTTCTCAGACTCAGGTTTTTAAATGCAAAAAATAAAATAAAAGGAAATAAATTTTATCGAAACACAGTTATCAAAATATTATAAAAACATAGAGGTATCTATATACGAACAACCCCTGACCCTCACCAAGCCCAGAGGCCACAGGTCAGGAATCTGCACTGTCCTAGGAGAGGGTGAAGGGGGCAGAGGTGGGGGAGAGACAGGATCTCTGTCTCTGAGGGCGTGGGGGCTGCCGAGGGAGGAGAGACCATCCTGGCTGGGCTGGTCCCAGGGGACGGAGCCAGGAGCAGCGCAGAGGCCCTTCAGTCTGGAAGGCAGGAGGTGCACTCCATCTCTAGAAGACGTGGGCCCCCTCCGAAGCTCTTTGAGCACAGGATGGATGAGCCCTTGTTGGGCTCGACCCTCTAAAGTCTGGCTTCCTGACTAGGCACTACAGGCAGAGAGCGCTGGGCCTGGAGTCAGGAAGACGTGAGTTCAAATCCCGCCTCAGACGCTAAGTACTAATCCTCTCTGAGCATCGATTTCCTTATCTGTAAAATGGGATAATAACAGCACCTACCTCCCAGGGTTCTCGTGAGGACAAAATAAGAGAATGTATGCAAAGCCTCTGCCAGCCTTAGAGCACCTCACCTTAACGCTGTTGTTCTTACGGTTAATTATACCACAATAACAATGTTCTCTGTCGTTAGAATACTCCATAATTGTATGGCATGGTCAATAACAAGAATGATAACCATGCTATCTAGTGTGAGCTGGCTCAGATGCCCAGGAAGCCCCAGGACTTTGACGGGGCCACAGGCTGGCAGCTGGGCTTCTACCCAATGGGGCGCCCCTTGGGGGCAGCTCGGGTGCCCCTGCCTGGCCAGGGCTTGCTGTAAGGGCCCCCTTTGGTTGGGGGTCCTCAGGACCCCGTGCAGGACAGAT